TTTTAATGCCACGATATTGGTGTAATGGTCTAAACTCACATGGAGCAGCAGCATTTACTGTGAGCCGCTCTGAGACACGGATATGACCGCGTGTGAAAGAGCATAGCAGAGCTGCAAACGGCAGCGTGTGTGTATTGTAAAACCTTTCTATGGCAAGCCTGTGGAGGCCCCGTCAAATAAGTTACAGCTGTCACTTGTCACTTGCCCACCCGTAACTTATTTGACGGGGCCTCCACAGGCTTTCCGTGGACAATGCATTAACAAGTCATAATTTAAGTTTATAAACATTTTATTATGCATAACGTACAGTGCTACACTTGGGAAACACCGTCTGACAAGTTCATATACATTACAATTTTATTTCTCCATTTCTGAATATGATACAGCATTCTCTCTGGTGTCATTTTAAAGCAGAGATTATCAGCTTTATAATGATGTAAATTATTAAATAATAGACCATTAATTGGCTGAATGAAACTTAATTTGGTACTGTCAGATTTCCATACTTTCAAAGGCCTCACTCAAGCACCAAAACAGCTGAATTTGAGCTTTTATTTCTCCATTTCTGAATAAGATACAGCATTCTCACTGGTGTCATTGTAAAGCAGAGTTGTTGTGGCTTATAATGATGTAAATTATTAAATGATAAACCAATAATTGGCTGAATGAAACATAATTTGGTACTGTCAGATTTCCATAGGCCTCGCTCAGGCACCAAAACAGCTGAATGTGAGCTTTTATTTCTCCATTTCTGAATAAGATACAGCATTCTCTGTGGTGTCATTGTAAAGCAGAGTTGTTGTGCTTTATAATGATGTAAATTATTAAATAATAGACCAATAATTGGCTGAATGAAACATGATTTGGTACTGTCAGATTTCCATACGTTCCAAAGGCCTCGCTCAAGCAACAAAACAGCTGAATTTGAGCTTTTATTTCACCATTTCTGAATAAGATACAGCATTCTCTCTGGTTTCAATTTAAAGCAGAGATTATCAGCTTTATAATGATGCAATATATTTAATTATAGACCAACAATTGGCTGAATGAAACATAATTTGCTACTGTCAGATTTCCATAGGCCTCGCTCAGGCACCAAAACAGCTGAATTTGAGCTTTTATTTATCCATTTCTGAATGAGATACAGAATTCTCACTGGTGTCATTTTAAAGCATAGATTATCAGCTTTATAATGATGTAAATTATTAAATAATAGACCAATAATTGACTGAATGAAACATAATTTGGTACGGTCAGATTTCCATACTTTCAAAGGCCTCGCTCAAGCACCAAAACAGCTGAATTTGAGCTTATTATTTCTTTAATAATCGGCTGAATGACACATAATTTGCTTCTGTCGGATTTCCAAACAAAGACATTTATCTTTAGATATTTTATTAGATATTTATCTTATATTTTATTTATTTATCACATTCTTATTGGAGGCTTACATTTATTTAATATATAAATATATGATCTTTTGCAGATTTTTAAAGGTACAAAAAAGAAAAATGAGTGACACTGATGACAGTGGGGTGGGGATTCCTGGTTTCAACAGTACTGTAAGTACAATATAAAACAATGAAAATTAATTTAACAAAATTAATGGAACTTATTATACAACATGTCACATTTCATTGCTTTGTTTTTTTTTCTATGTTGTTTGCCCCAGGCAACCACCGTGATCCTCACAGCCTCTGTAAGTTTTGTATACTTGTCATTAAGTTGTTCATATACTTTTAGACAGTGAATATTATGTGTTTTGAGGTGAGACAGTTGTTGTGGTGTGGTCTTTTGAAGGACACCCATGAAAGCACCAGTGAGGATGATGCAGGTCTTGGCCCTCCACCTCCACCTCCATCACCACCACCTCCACTTTCCACTTCCTCTTCCCCACCATCTTCCCCGTCACCTTCCCCTTCCTCTTCACCTCCATCATTGCCATCTGAAGAAGTAATGTATTTCTAAAGCACTGAAGTATAGTTGAAACAATCAGTTCAATCAGTTC